AATATACCCAAAGACTTAGCCTTAGATAGGAGTGCTTGGAAAACAGCTATTCACGTGCCTGAACCTTGATTGCTTCTGCTTGGTTTCAACTCTAGCCTACCCCAACTTGTTTGTGACTTAAAGGCTTTATTGTTGTTGGTGGTGGTGGTGTATTATAGGGTGGGGTAGATGAACCTAAATAAGCGAAAGTATATTGACTACACTTGCTTGGAAACTAATATGTTAATCAATCCATGTAGTTTGCTGAAATGTTATTGAACAAATTTGTGTATAGTTGGACATGTAAATAAATAATCCTCATAAAAGTCCGGATTTCTAACATGTTTTAAATGAATGCAATCTGACAGCTGTACTTATTAGATAGGTGAGAAAAGAAAAAACACACAAACACATGGAATATCCATTACTAATAACAATTATCCTCTTATCAACACAAGTCGGAAACACCCAGACACAACAAACAGTCACATTTCTACATGAGCCCAAGTCCACAGTATTTTTTTACATGACAAGAAACACAGTAGAAAACCACAACCACAGTAACAAAGTAATGACTCATTCTTGGAAGTTCTAAAAAAGAGACTGACTGTTATGGGCCTGGTCCCATCAATATGGCAACATTAGCATGTCACTTAGAGGAGATTAGGATCAACTGGTGTTTTTGTTAGCACATCTTTCATTACCAGGTTCTTAGGCAAATCAAGATTGTTAGTTCGTTAGGACAATTAGTTAGTTTGTTAGGTATGACTATAAAAGCCCAGCCGCACCATCGGCTCGAGGCATGCAAGGAGGGTGACTTAGCTGGTTCTTCTTGCTATCCCATCTATCCCTTGTCAATCCGTATCTAAGATAAACTCAATCTCATTAAGTTCCGAAACTACATTTTCATATGAATCGATTTGTTTTTTGTAGAAAAAAAATAAATGCAAACAGCACATAAATTACTTTTATTAAGAAAATCAGACAAAGGTTCAACTTGCTTGTACAATATTTCAGTTGCTTAAGAGAGCTAATTAGTAATTAGGGGTTGTTGATACCCAACTTTGTCATCCTATCTAGAAGGTTTGTGGATACGATTCATGAAGACTCGTCATGTTCTTAGTGCGTTAGTGGTTTTCATAGTAACTGACTGGTTGAAGTGCACATTTCCTGCTATGAACAAACTGCATTAGGAGAATGAATATAAGAGCAACACTGTCCTTTGGAAATGAAGACATATTAGATGCAGTTAGTGAGTAAAGGTAAAGAACAAAGTGGAGGCTTGAAAGGTAAACTATTAATATCTTTCATATATTCTTTTAGTTCTACAAGTTTTTATATGAAGACCGAATAATTTGCTGCTTATCTGTGCTATTGACTTATTGCCTCATATATGAAGACCGAATTATTTATCTTATTTTTCTAATAAAAACATAGATACTTCACCAGGAAATTTAAAAACAAAAAATAAAACTGAAAAGTGACAGATCCTCTTTCTTTCAATTTCTTTTTTTTTCTTGTATGGGGAAAGTTTTTTTTATCAAGCAAATCCTGTGGGTATGGGGAAGATTTTTTTATCATGCAAATACTGTGACTAATAGAAGCAAATTGTAACCCCATAAATCATGTGAGGTGGGCTAAAAGTGGACTTACATTTTTTGTTCTGGAAGTCGGCAGCAACTTACTTTAAAAAGTGTAGTAGAATATATCTAGCACTTCACAGGCTATAAGCAGAAGCTCAGATTGCATAATTATGTGGTATTGACATCACAGGAAATGATCATAAGTAAGTATAAGCGCAAAACCAAACGAAATGATCAGAATAGGTGCAAAGGGAGGCAAAAAGTCGAACTAATCAATTGACCACTGCCTCAGCTATCACGGAACAAGCAGAAAGGCTCCAAAATACACAAAATTGAATAGGTACAAAGAGAAGCAAAAAATTGAAGCTACCAACTGACCATTGCCTCAGTGGTCATGGAAGAGGCAGAAAGAGGTGCAAAAAATAGAATCAGCATTATTGGTCATAATTGACCATCGCCTTAGTTATCATTGAGCAGGTACATAGAGACAGGAAAAATAAAACCAACATTGGTCACGATCACTGCCTCAGTCATCAATATAAGCAATTGACCACTGCTTTAGCTGTCATGGAAGAAGCAGAAAGGCTCCAAAATACACAAAATAGAATAGGCAGAAAGAGACGCAAAAAATCGAAGCAACCAACTGACCATTGCCTTAGTAGTGCACATAAAAGAGGCAGAAAGAGGTGAAAAAAATAGAATCAGCGTTGGTCATGTTCACCGTCTCAACTATCAACATAGCATGGAGATGTAAAAGGAAGCATCGAAAAAGCAGAACCAACCAAGTGACCATCACCTCTAGTTATCATTGAGCAGCTACAGGAAAAACAAAATCAACTGTGCCCATGATCACCACCTCAGTTATGAACACAGTAGAGAGACATGAAAGGAAGAATCATCATAGCTCATGAGCATTGCCTCAGTTATCTAGAAAAAGAAAGAGGTCTAAATTGTGGAACGATAGCCCATGATCACTGCATCAAACATTAAATATTTATTGTGTATTTATCACAGCATGAACCCATTCCCTCAAATTAATCTAACATCAAGAGGAAAGTGTACTCATCATTGGACATTACCAAAATCATGACCACTGCAGTGCACTAAGAAATGAAACGAATATGATGTCATGGCGATGTCCTTAGATATATGCCACAAAATCATAAGCACTGCAGTGAACTAAGAAACGAAATAAATATCATGGTCATGTCCTCAGATATATGGCACATAATCATGAGCACGAACAAATATCATTGACATGCTGATATCGTCAGATATATGGCACAATACCTAGTATTGTCAAGATCCAGCCGAACCGAGCAGGTGACACGACACTCAATGCAAAAAAAAATCTACTGTAAGACAGTAACCATCTAGATTGGTAAGGGAAAAGTGGGAGAACAATAGATGGATTGCCTCCAAATCACAAAGCAATGCCAGCTGGACGATTAAATGGACCTTAGCTTGTCGGATTGCCTCCAAATCGCAAAGCAATGGCACCGCACATAGCAGATCCACTCCACGGAACGGGGGAGAGCAAACTAGGGGATCGAGGCAAAGCAGAGCCGTGCGAGCAGCATGTAGGTGGCCACGCGGGGAAGCGGGGGACGGGCGGCAGGCGCGGCACCACCCATGCCGGGTCCCGATCGATCCGGGGACGGCGCAACGGGGAGATGGGAGGGGAGGCGGCAGGAGGCAGGGAGAGGACAGAGCGAGACAACGGTGAAGCACGACGGGCGCGGGCGGCAACGGCGTGGCTGCTGCGGGCTGGCACGGGTTGGCGATGCATGGAGGTGGGGGTGCCGGTGGGGGCGGGATGCGGATGGCGCGAGGGGGCGCAACGGGGTGATGGGAGGGGAGGTGCCAGGAGGCAGGAGGCAGGGAGAGGACACAGCGAGACGACGTCGAAGAGCGACGAGCGCGGGTGGGCGCGATGGGGGCGCGGCGGCGAGCGACATTTTTTTTGGAAGGTAGACGGGCGTAGGGGGTGCGGAGAAAGATCGCACGGGCGGCAGGCAGATAGGGCGATGGACGAATGTCGCACCAAAAAATATCCACATTTTGTTCTTTAGTTGTAGGAGATATATATATATATATATATATCGCCGCACTCCCCCGAAGCGAACCCTTTTCTTGTCCCTATACACCGTCGTTCAATGGCGACGGTTCGTAGACCCAGGTCCAAGAAACCTCGGGTGGCGGCGCTGGTGTCGGGGACCATGAACAGCAGCCGGAATGCTTGGCCGGCGGCCCTGACCTCATCAGCGACCTCCCGGACGATATCCGCGGCACCATCATCTCCCTCCTCCCCACCGATGACGGCACCCAGACGCAAGCCTTGTCCACGCGGTGACGCCACCTCTGGCGCTCCTCCCCACTCAACCTCTGCGACGGCGACATTCGCGGGTTTGGCTCCAGCCGCGACATCACGCACGTCGTCTCCCGCGTCTTCTCCGCGCATCGTGGCCCCGTCTGCCGCCTCTCCCTACACCGGGCCAGGTACCCCGACCTAGACTCCTAGCTCCGCTCACCCGCGCTCGACACCCTGCAGGAGCTCGAGCTGTGGCGCGAGTTCATGCATCCGGTCCTGATACCGCCGGTCGCGTTCCGGTTGTCATCTTCCCATCGCGCCCTCGCCCTCAACGACGGTAAGTACGTCAAATTTCCTACAAATGACGTGGATAGGCTACACTTTCCCAACCTCAAGCAGCTCACGATCAAGTGCACCATCATCGCGGAGAGCGTGCTCCACACTCTGCTCTCCAAATGCCCTGTGCTTGAGAGCTTAGCGCTGAGCAAAAATGTGGGTTGTCGTCGCCTCAAGATTAGCTCCCCTACCCTTAGAAGCTTTGGTGTTTCGGAAGACCGTCTATGGGATCCTGAAAGGCTGAAAGAAGTCATTATTGAGGATTCGCCTCTCCTACAAAGGTTCTTCATCTTAGTCCAACATCATTCTGAAAGAGAAGGTCTATCAGTTCGAATATCTGGGGCGCCCAAACTTCAGTTCTTGGGGTCGCTCACACATGACATGACAACACTTGAGCTTGGGACTACTATTTTGAAGAGAAAATTGCAATTATAGGACACCAAACAATGCGCTTCGCAATTATAGGACTTCAATCGTCGACTTCATTAAAATGACCCTTGAAACGTTGGCTTCTTATTTTAGATGACATTTGGCGTATTTCTTCACTTTGTTAATCAAAATACATGTATTTTGGCCCTCTTGTGACCCTTCTGCCCTTCTGCTTTTGTATCGTTGATCAATCGTACCAATTCATCTACCCGACGTTCCACCTTCCCTCCGAGACCGACGCCACCCTAAGCACCAACGCCGCCATTCTTCCTTCCCCTCCTCCCGACGCCGCCGTACCCTTCCCTTCCTCGACTCCCATAGATGAATCACCGCCCAAAGATGATGATGGCCGCCCGATCGCCATGGAGGGCCAAGCAGCCACAGCCCTGGCGAAGATGGTGACCCCGGCGCCGGTGGCATTGACGGACCCGTCGGGCGCGCTGGACAAGGATGCCGTCACAATCGGCCGCGTGCTGGAGGCCATTTTCGTGATGGCGGGGGACCGGATGGTGGACCAGAGCGACGCGACGACCATCCAGGTCGCGGAGACGTGCGCCACGGGGTCCCACACCACCATCCCTGGAGGGGTGGCCACGGCGACACAGTCAGTGGCTGATCAGAACACCCGCGCCTTGCGCGACGAGGACAAGGTCAAGCTCTAGAACGTCCTCTCGGTGCGTGCGATCACTACTCCGCTTTTGTCATTTTCTCGATTCGCAGCTGTAGCCTATAGGCGAAGTGTTTTGGACTGTCAGTGGTGACCGTGAGTTGTGTGGCCGTATGTACGTGTAGAACGCAAGGGAGAGGCTGCCAGCGGACAAGGGGGCGATGAGGGAGGACACCGAGAGGGTGGTGTCCGCGGAGATACAGAACAAGTTGGACATGATGACCATGTCGGGCGGCGTGGCGGACGCGGTGATTACAGTGGAGGCCTCTCCCAACACCACGTCCAGTGCTCTAGCCCTAGCCAGAACGTTGCTGCCCACTGTTCCTCTTCCAACAGTAGAGTACAACCTTCCTATTCTTAAAGTGCAAAGGTATTGACCTTTATGCTTTCTATTTTTTTTACCACGATAGTAGTAGATAGTATTTAAACTTGATATCACTTGTTTAGGTCCCAAGTAGATCATGTGGAAAATATGGAAATATTTGATTAGGATAGCATACAGATAGTGGAGACACATGATGACGAAGGTCGTATTGCACTTATGAGTGAGAATCAGATTTGTGAGCTTTTAGGCTTGACAGAGGAGGACATAACAAATATACCTGCACAGGGCTTTGATTGCCGAATGGATGAACAGGGGCATGATAATGATCTTGGGCAAGATAATAATGGTCCTGCCATTCCTACTAGTGATGCCATACCAGGTGAAATGGTCATTTCGTATGATAAGAACAACCCATCCATGGATTTAGGAATAGTGTACCCAATAATGGAGGAGTTCAAGATGGCAGTGCGGCAATTTGCCATCAATAAGGAGTTTGATTTAGGAACAGAGAAGTCATGTAAGACGAGATATAGGGCTTATTGCAAGTCTGGTGATGAAGATTGCCCTTGCCCTTGGAGGATAAATGACACCAAACATAAAGGCCAAAGTATTGTGGAGGTGAATAAATTTCTTTTTCCTTTCATTAATTCTACCTTTCATGTAAATTAATATGAATCTCATTGATTTTTTGTTTTGCAGGTAACCGTCTTAGTCGATAAACATACATGTGTGTCTAGCATGAGGCAGATAACTACAACTCCAAATCTGAAGTGGGTAGCTAGCAAGGCTGTGAGTATCCTTAGAGATGATCCAAATATTGGTGCTAAGGAATTGCAAAAGAAGTTGCAGACAGATCACAAGTGTCAAATTGCATATGACACTGTATGGCGGGATAAAGAAAGAGCTCTTTGTGAGGTTTATGGCAAATGGGAAGAGAGTTTTGAGCTGTTGTTTTAGTGGAAGGCCAAGGTAATGAAGCGGTGCCCCGGGAGTGTCGTTGAAATTGAGGTACTTGAGGTGGATGGTCAAGTATATTTTCACCATTTTTTCTGTGCTCTTAAACCATGCATTGATGGTTCGTTGGAAGGTTGTAAGCCTCATTTGAGCATAGATGCTACAACACTTAATGGAAGGTGGAATGGTCACTTGGCCGTAGCTATAGCAGTTGATGGTCATAATTGGATGTATCCACTCTCTTATCGCTTTATATCTTCTGAAACAACAGACAACTGGACTTGGTTCATGGAGCAATTAAAGAAGGCAATAGGTGATCCTCCACTCCTTGTTGTTTGTTCTGATGCTTGCAAGGGCTTGGAGAATGCAGTGAAGAATGTATTCCCAAATGCAGAGCAAAGAGAATGCTTTTATCATCTTGTCAAAAATTTCTAGAAGAGATTTAGAGGGTTTGGATAGATATATCCTGCGGCAAGGGCTTATAGAGAAGACATATTCTATGACAATATATCAAAAATGTTAAGTGAATCAGCAGAAGCAATGAAATGGTTACAGACCAATCATAAGCTATTATGGTATAGGTGTGCTTTCAATCCAGAAATTAAGTGTGACTACATAACTAGTAATATTACTGAGTCATTTAATAACTGGATTAGAGACCATAAAGGCTTACCTGTTGCTGACCTTGCTGATAAGATTAGAGAAATGATCATGGTACTTTGGAACAAGAGAAGAAATATTGCATATAGGCTACCTGAAGGCAGGATACTTCCAGCTATTATGCATCAGCAAAAGGCAAATACTAGAGGTTTGGGACACTTGAAAATTATACCATGTTCTAATTAGAGTGCAGAGGTGTGGGACCATAGCAGCAGAGTTGAGAGGCATATTGTCAAGTTACACCAAAGGACCTGTACTTGTCTTGAATGGCAGCACACTGGTAAGCCATGTCAACATGTATTGGCCTATGTAACCCACCAATGGGGAGTTGACCTTGAACAGTTTGTGCATGACTATTACTCGGTGAATAGATTTAGGGCTGCTTATGGTAGAGAGATTGAGCTGATGATAGACAAAACACAATGGCCACAAGTTGACCTAACATTTTTAGTTGGTGCACCTCTTGCTAAATTACCTGTTGGAAGACGAAGGAAACTAAGATAGAAAGGATGGATGGAATGTGGCCACAAGAAGAAAGGTTCAAAAGATGGTGAATGTACCGACGAGGGTGAAGGTGAGAAGGGATGTGACAACGATAATGCTCCAACAAATGGAAAGGGAAAGAAGATGATCAGAGGACCTATGACTTGCAAAAAATATGGACAAAAAGGTCACAGGCAAGCTAGTGCCAAGTGCCCACTCAACGGGACAGCAAAAAAAGCGGTAACTACGGATTTTCATTATCAAGAAATTTGAATGAAAATGTCAATAGTAATTTATTTGTTTACTTGTAGGAAGCGTAGGCAACTTAGGAAGAATGTTACAAAAGCTACGCCAGCAGAATCTAGCACCCCACGAAGGCCGACTAGAGAAGAAATCCTACGGGATAGTCTAGGAAGGGTCACTAGAAGGTAAGGAAAATTAACACATGTACCGTACATTAAATCTTTCCATACATCTAATTGTTGTATCGTATTTTATGTGCAGCAAGCTTGCGATGTTATTAGGAGAGGGCGCATCTTCACAAACCGACACCACTAGTCCCGTGAGGATGCCTACCGTGGCAGCACCAAAAAAGATGACTCCAAAGAGAAAGCTACACATTGGATGAATTATTTTACTTATGATGAGATGTAAACTCATGCTTTATTTCATATGACTTGGATCTCGTTTGGAACTAAATTATGGTCTTCTGAGATGAACTTGTTTATGCTACAATCATGATTTTATGAGATGAGCTCGTTTGTGCTAAATTCATGGTTTTATCTATTACTTGTAATTGTGTATGGATCATCTTTGATAATTTATACTCCATCCGTTCCTTAATATAAGCCATATAGATTTCTAAAGAAAATTCCAAAATATAGGTACGTATCAGCTCCCACGCCGATTAGTTTGAAAACCTTCCCACCGTACATAGCACATGCCCCAACCAATCCCTTAGATTTAGGAAGCAATCTGATTGGGAGAGAGAAGATAGCCTGATTTTCCTTTTTTCCTCGATCTCACATCCTTCCCCAAGCCGTGCGTTAATATTGGTGCTAAAAACTATATGCCTTATATTAAAGAACGGAGGGAGTATTACATATTAAACTGTACATGGCGGCCAGCCAGCCCAGGCGCTGGCCAGCCATGCCCAGGCGCCGGTTAGCAATGCCCTGGCAGCGGCCAGCTAGCCAAGGGCGCGGCCAGCCAAGCAGGCCAGGCGAGCGGCCAGCAGCCCCATCCCACGTCAATTGAAGCTCCGAGGGCAATACAGTCACATCATGGCAAAATACATGTATTTTAGTTGAGAAAAGTGATTAAAAAGATAAAATGTCATGTATAACAAAGTGCCAATGTTTTAAGGGTCGTTTTAGTGAAGTCGATGTTTGGAGTCCTATAATAACGAAGCACATTGTTTCGCGTCCTATAATTGCAATTTTCTCCTATTTTGAAGGTGCCTGTAGTTTCTAACTTACTGTGTCACCCTCTTATGTTTCACGCTCTTACTGTTTATGCCCAATGATTTAATTCAGGAAACTATGCCTGTGAACTCAACAGCGGTGGTGTGAACAGTGAATGTTTTGGTTGTGCACATGTCCCCTCCTAGTATCGATGATGTTATTGGCCTTATGAAATGTTTGCCCTGCTTGTAGAAGCTATATGTCAAGGTAACGAATGTTTCCCACCAATCATTTGTATTCTTGTTTCCAACTACTCTCTGTTGGCCCACAGTTAGCCTCCCGACCACCGAGATGGCCTCTAGACCACTGCAGATAGCCTCCAGACCACCGAGATGGCCTCCAGATCATTACAGATAGCCTCCAGACCACCGAGATAGCCTCCAGACCACCCTTGGTCTCACAGGATCACCGGCTCACGATAGTGAACCACTCTAGCCGATCTTGCCGTGCACCGGCTCAGGCGAGAGGAGCACTTGACGGTCTCGCCGAGCACGCGCTAGTGTTGCTGAGCACCCACTAGCCATGCAGACCACGTACCGGCGTTGTCCGTACCCACACACTACGGACAGAGTTGGGAGAAGAAGGGAGAACAGAGCAAGCACGCACAATACAAGACAACAGCGTTGGCCGAGGCCCTGTCTGTGTGATGGTAAATCTGAGCTCTCTTTACTGAGTTGCCATACATGTCTATTTATACAACTCTAACTATCTAGTCCATGTGTAGCGCCTATGTTGGCACAGTAACTAGATAACCTGATAGGGCTGACTGCTGCTTGAAGCCTTTGCTTTCTCTCTGAGGTCTTGCGGGTGAGCCGTGGGCGCCACTGACCAGAAGGCCACTCTTGTATCACAGCGAGGGGGCAAAGTTGGCGCCGCCTTCCCTTTTGTGTTCACACACAAAGAAGCGGCTAAGTCGGCGCCGCCTTCCTCTGCTGTGTTCACACAAGGTGGCAGTAGATTAGCTAACAATCTTCCCCTAATCCTACTGCTAACCCTTGTACCCCCTCCATGCCGGTCATCTCCTTCAGCTCCGTGAGTCGAAGTCATCCGAGCGGCTTGGTGAGGACGTCTGCGAGCTGCCGAGCAGTTTCGACGAACTCGATGATGATT